TTAAATATACATGTGTGCCCCTGCCAAGGCGCTACTCGTAGCACTAGCGTGCTACTCGTTGCGCAAGCGAGGGAGCTGATGCCGCAGAGCATGTGACGCGGTACGCGCCGTCACAGCTTAAGTATTCCCATGCGTACCTTTTAGTATAGTGGGGAAAGTTGCATAGTATTAGCTTAGCAGGCGGGGCGTCTACCTTATTACACAACGCTAGAGACCGCAAGGTGCAAAGGGGAGGATGTAAGAGGTATTAAGCAGGAAAAACAGGTTACAGAGAGGGAATGCAGGATAGGGGGGTAACAAGAGAGAGTAAACCTTAGGGTTAGAGGCAGAGGTACAGAGGCCGAGGAGCCTATATACCCTGTGCTAAGCCCTTAGGGTACTTAGGGGTTAGATAGCTGTAACATAACTGTAATAAAGGAAGACTATTACAAGGGCAGGAATGCGTTAAGAGCTAGAGCTAGCTATTATTTACTTTTTTAGCTATATTAGTGTGTTAGGGATTAGCATTAGCTATATTAGTGTGTTAGTGATTATGTGAAGCTATATAAGGCACTAGAGACATAAGGAACTGCATTAAATGTATTCCTAGAGGAGTCCTTTACAGGAGTCTATATATATGCAAAATAATTAGGTGGGTCTTAGCAACAGACTGTGCTAAGATGCATACAACTATAGTGCTAACGCATCTAACTATTGTGTGACAACACATCTAACTATTGTGCAACTATAGTGACAACACATCTAAGTGTTACCACTGTAAACAGATTAGTTACATGCTATAGTTAAATCTTATTATTATACATCTATTACCTATCTAATACTACTTTGCTAAGCATTATACTGTAACTATTCTTTAACCTAGATAACCTACTTTAATACGCTAACTATTACTGTTGCGTAAGAAGAGCACAGGGACCTACTGTCGCGCACATAGGCCTAGTGTCGCGCCTGTGTTTCAGACAAGCAGCCTAAGACACTTAGCGCCTAAGCTCTCTATTAGCCTCTTATAGTTAATAGACTTGCTTCTTATTGCTCTCTAATTAGTAGTTGCGACAATTACTCTAAGCAAGCTTTGCTTTTACAGATCATTTATGAACTGTTGTAGTATTTTATACTTAGCTATTAAAGAAAACAATAACAGCTAAAAAGTTTATTTATAAACTTAAATAAAACATTATATTAGTGCATAGATGTTTTAAAATTATTATTTTTAACTAAGATAAACTATTTACTAGTAGATTCTAAAAAGTAGCTATGCAACACTTTAGCATAACGCATAAACTATCTATAGCATACTACCTACAGACAGACAGCTAAACTAAAAGAGTAAATGCTAAAGTAAAAAAGTATCTAAAAAAGTACGTCTCTTACACCTAAAATAATTAGGCAGAATAGCTTTTTATAGCATAGCTAGCTATTAACATAGTAAAATTAGCTATAATAAAAGAAACACTATATAAAGCTAATTTTAGTTATAACTTATACTTTACACTATAAGAAAACTAGCCTATAAACTTTTAAAAATTAATAGACTAGTTATTAAACTTATAAAACATTTATAAAAAATTAGTAATTAAGGCTAGATCTAGTTAAAAAATAATAAAATAATATGCAAATAAATTATAATAACTAGGCCTAAGAATCTACCTAGAAGACTACATGTACTTTAATACTAGAAACCTTAAGATATCTAGACCTTCTAGGAAGCTAGTAAAAAGAAGGATAAGACTATATATGTAACGATCCTCATGAATCGTTCCATCTCGGGTCGCTCGGATCCTATCCGAAGGGTCCCCGTATCGGCCCCGACCATGACTCGACCCAGTCCCCCGCAGTTACCCCTATTCCCGCATGTATTTAGTCGCACCTTGCCCTGTAGCTAGCTCAGTAGTTTTCTAATATCCTACGTACAAGGCCTATAGGTGTTATTGGTATTCCCAGGTCTCTGAGTCCCCACGCACTCCTATATGCCTCTAAGTGGATTCATACCGCATTTAGACCCATTGTCTTGCCTGCGCTGTTACATTATATTAGAAAACTTACTTTTGCTAGTAACAGCCTTGTTATAATATTACATTAATTATTTATTTAACTACGTCTAAGTTCTAAGAAGCGTCTAATTTAGTTTAAGTTACTGTTCTTACACACTGTTACATTAAATTATTTAGTTAGTATAGATAGGATTCTAGAGACCTTCTGTTAACTAAAGCCTTTAGGTTTAGAACTTCCTATCCCCTGCAATTAGGATTGCCTTTAGAAAAGTTGCAAAGAGTGCGCTAAAGTAGAAACTTAAAAACTACTAATAACCTATTAGAATTAGGGACAACTACTAATGCCTAACTCTTAACTACTATTAGATCTTATTGTAAAGACTGCAACCTATTCTAGCTGTAGCTAAGGCAAGATGCCTGCCCTTAGAACTAAACTACTACTAACCTTAACAGCTAAACCCTTTTTTGTAGGACCTAAAGCTAAAAACCTACTAGATTTAAAGTTAAACTTTAGCAGTATAGCCCTTAAAAACTAAGTTGCTTAATTAAGGGCACAAATTAAACAGCTAACTAGATTAAAAACTATTAGTCCTAATTATCCCCTACTAACTACTAAATTACCTATAATAATGCCTTAAATTACCCCTACTACTCTAATAGTAAGAGACCTTTTAGGCACCCCTAAGCTCCCTTAAAGCTACCTTAGTAAATATACGCCTAAGATTAAGAACTTTACAGACAGCAAAGAACCTATGTTTAAATAATAGTAAGCCTCTATTACAGACAGACTTAACATTAATGCAGATCACTATTAGAGTAAGCGCGCACGCATAGCGCTAGTATAGGGACACACTGCTAGTATCGCGAAGGAATACCTAGAGCCTAGATACCTAGCTAAATTAGATTACTTTTAGTTTAGAAATGTAAAAGAAATAATTAAGCTTTTGTAAACTTACTTTATTACTAGTAATAAAAAGACAGAGGCGCAACAGGTGTTTTAAACTCTAAAAATAAGCAAAGGAGAAGTGTTCTTTACCTTTAAAGCTTACTTTATTAGTGCTGCTGTTAAAGAGTCTGTATTAAAAGCAAAATAGTTTTTCTACTTATAGGAAAAGATACTACCTAGCCTAAAAGTACTAAACTTAGGTTTTAAGCACACTTAGAAGGGCTTCTTTAAGACTATAGTAGCCTACCTAATAGCCTACAACATAGAAAGAAGGAATACCTCTGCTATTTTAAAGCAAACTGTTAATCTTACCTAACAGTCTACTATTAGACCTAGTATAGATTAGTCTTAGAAGGTTTTTAGTAATACATCTAAGGCAGTATACCATTCCAGTGCACCCTGACCTGCACCTATGTTAGTACCCTAATCCACCCTAGCTACCTACAGACAACCTAGCTAGACACCTGCCCCTAAAAGACAAACAACTTCTAGCAACTATTATAATTATAGTAAACTAGGACATTTTGCTAGCAACTGCCTTATCTCTAAAGTACAAGAAATAGAGGTAGAGCAGTAAGATTCTAAAGAAAAATTTATAAACATAAATAATTTTAATCTAGATGCCTCCTAGATAGGAAACAGCAACACCTAAGAAAACTTTTTATCTTAGGCTTAAGCAAGTATAATCTATTAAACATTAATTTATTGCACTTGTTTAAAGGAAAACACTTCTAAGTCTCTACTGTTTTGTATTTAAAAAGCATTAAAGTCTGTTTAAATCTTTTAGTTAATACTAGTGCTTATAGTTTTCTATTTATTAACTTACTAACTGCTAAGTTATTATCTTAATGCCTCTATGTCCCTATCTAACGCTTACTATTTAAAGTTATAGTTAAGGGCTTTTAAGATTAGATCTAAGTCCCTGTCTACTAGTATATCTGCATGCACATGTAAATTAATAGAAGAAGCATCTAAAACTGCCCCTTTATTATTATAAACCTTAGCTCCTAGGATTATATTATTAGCATTAAATAGTTATGTTGTTTTAAACTCTATCTAGATATAGAGAGAAATTAGATTATATAGCCTAGTAAATATCTGCCTACCTACAAACCTTTGCTGCCCTTGCTTATGCAATTAACCTAGCCTGCGCGCGACAAAGAAGTGGAGCTAGATATTAAACAACACAACGCACTATAGAAAAAGGACTAATTTTAGCAGTTATGCAGCCTAACAATCCACCACATTAAGGGTTTGCTAAGGCTACTAAAATTATACAAGTCTTCTATTGTCTATAGTCTAAAGACACTTAAATTGTCTTTTTGCTTATCTATTAAAAAGTCTAGAACAGGTCTAAAGGAGGTCTATTTAGCCACTATTACTCTAATTTTAGCAAATGCTTTTTATTTTAATATAAAGAGGAGGGAGAACAAGTTCTTTTTAACTTTTATCTATAAAATTAAGCAGTTAATTAAAAATAAGCAAGCCTTATAGTTAGACGCTAAACATAAAACTAAAGCATTAGTAAACCTTTAATTACCCTCTAAATACTATTAGTACTAAGATGTATTTAGCTACACA